ATGGAGAAGACAAACAGCTGCGTTGAGTTGCGAAACCGAAATAATGAAATTTTTCGTCTTTCCTCAGCATTTGATTACAGTGGGGCTCGCTGGTAGCCGTAGGGTTGAGAGGAAGAAGTTCCCTGCTTTGAACGCATGAATGGCGCACCACATGCGCAGTATTACCTTCCTGCTGAATTGGTGATCGCACGACCGGTTCTGCCGTTTCCGAGAGATCTATTCTTTAGCATTTCCGAGAGTGCTTCAGAGGAAATACCAGGTGTGACTCCAAATACGTTGGGACTCGGTAGAGATCCGTATAGGAAAATGTGACAAAAGTGATGAATTTCTTCTCTTTCCGGGTATTAGAGCTAGGATAGATGAAGCTAGGATGGATGAAGGCATTGCTGTGGAAGAAATCGAAAACGAGATCCAAAAAATGTCACGAATTTCTCAAGGCACCGTATTGTTATAAAAAAGTTTCCTTTCAGGTTCAGAGAAGAAGCCCGCCGACAAATGGAAACATGCGTTCAAACAAATGCAGAAATCCAAGTAAATTAATTTATATGCCATCTTGCATTGTAGGATTCTGCAGAAAACTGTAGAGATATAATACTAGCTCCGTTAAGCATCCTAATTTGAAACTTATTCTAGATCAGGAGGACAGATCATTATTGTAAGACCCTGAGTTTTTTTTTCAGGAAAGAAGCTGCACGAAGACGAGCCAAACAGATCGACAACAAAAGCCGTTGGGTATTTCCGTTGAGCTTTCTCGCCTTCAATGCTGTTTACTGGTCTTATTACCTTCACTTCAAGTCATGATCTCGATGTGTTTTTCTGTTGCGATTTTTATTGATAAATTATATCTTTTCTGTTACCAAGAGGTTCTCTGACTGTTAGTCTTTTTCTTCCAAAAGAAAGAAAGAACAAGAAAATCTCAAAAAGACATCATCGTTCACCTGTAAGTTCGATTACCAGTTTAAGCCGTTCTCAGGGAAACTGAAACAGTGTTAAAGGCAGTTGGCACGATAAATCCCTAAGACGAATAGGATTAATACGCCTGGCAGGACGGAATTCCGCGCCCCTGAGCAGGCGCTGCGTAGCGCCTTTTATAATTGAGGTGCCAATGTGCCCTATCGAGCTGCAACATTCCGACGCGTACGCCCACCGCGTATGACTACGGGATACTAGTCCGAAGTTGCTTTTGGAATAACCAGGGCTTTTCTTTGCAGAAGGTTTTTGACCGCTTCACTTCGTTTTTTCGC